CTGCTGCCCACCAGAAAGGAGTCGTGACATAGCCAGGAAGTGGCATAGGAGCATCTCGGCCAGGAAGGGCTGGCTGACCTCCTCCCCCTTCCCTATTGGTCCCCTCACCCATTGCCATGGCCAGTGCCCACAGGGGACCAGGCTCTGGGCTCCTCCTGAGCCACTGACCGCCTCCTCCTGCTTGGGATGCCCCACTAACTCCTCCCTGCATCGCCACACCTGCTGGACTTCCCCACACAGCCTTGGGAGCCAGTGCTGGTCCCTCCCGCCCCTGGGTAGAGCTTTTCCTGGCTGCTTGAAGTGGAAACACCCTGACCCTTGGGTGTGGAACTTGGGAGCTGGTCAGGTGCAATCTTGGGCGTCCACCTGGCCCTAGGGTGGCGGCAGGACGCTGTCCACGGCCTGGGCAGCTGTGAGCTGTGAGCTCGGCCTCCCTCCTTGCCCTTTTGAAGGCTTGCCCGCCCCACCCTGGGAGTTTGGGCTGTCCTCTCCTTCCCCAGCCTTGCTCCACAGTGAGAACAGAGGTTCCGTCCTGATAGGGCCCAAACTTAGCTAACGGATGGCGCTCCAGTGGGGAATCTGGGCAGCAGTCAGCGGGGATGGAGGTGTCTTTGAGGCAGAGTCGCAGCCTCTCCGGGCTCCCCCCACCTCCCCAGGCTGTCCACTCCCAACCCCTGTGACAGAGGGGCAGGCCCGGTCCCGTCCCGGGCCTCACGCTGAGTGCACTCTCTGGCCTTCAGCCCTGAGTGTGTAGAGGTCTGGAAGCATGTGCCTTCCCAGAAGGATGTGGGTCTGTTCGGCCTGAGCCCAAGGCCTCAGGGCCTGGGCCTCCAGCAGGACACTGGCGGCTTCCCTCCCTCCTCAGCCAGGTTAAGGTGCCCAGCTCACCTTGCAGGCCTCGCCACCTCCAACTGGGCCGAGCCTCAGGTTCAGGCTCTTCATCACTGTTCTGGGCCACAGGGACTGTCTGTACCTGGGAGGCAGGTCGCACCTGCCCTCTCTGTCCCCATTGCCTTTTTAGAGGATCTCCAAAACCCTGGGATCCCGGGAACTAGTTGCCAGGTAAGAAAACCAAGGGACAGAATCAGGAAGGGGCTGTGGGCTGAGGGGCTTCCATGTCTCCAAACCAGGGTGGCACCTGCTTCCCAGTGTGACCCCAGTGGGGCCTGTGAGGATGCGCCTGTCCCAGAAGCGGTCCCCTCCAGACCCCCCTGCAGGTCTGAGAGGCCCGAGGCTGCCTCCCATGGGGGTCTGGTGTCCGAGAGGCTCTGGTCAGAAGGCACTTGGGGTCGTGGGGAGTTGGAGCGAGAAGACCTGGGGCATCGGAGCTGTGCCTGAGGGCCCCTCCTTCCACCCCCCCAGCCCCCCCACCCCTTGGAGTGCCTTCCCCGCAGCGGCCCTGTACCCAGAGGGGGAATAAAGAAACTTTGAGGGGATGCTGCTGGAAATGGGCCTGAAGGGAGGCGTGGAAGCCGGCTGTGGAGCGAGGGTGGGTGGGGTGGCGTTCTGGGCAGAGGGAAGCACTCACTCCTGCTGGTGTCCCAGGTCTTGCCCCCCCTCACGACCCCTGAAGGCACAGACAGCTCGGCCTCAGGGCTGCCAAGGGTGGCTGGAGGGACTGCTGAGCCTAAATAGGCCAAAGAGGGCCCTGCTTTCCAGCCGGAGGGATCTTCGAACCCCTGAGGGGTCACACAGCTCCCCATCTTCCAAAGATTTCACACAGAGGGAAATGGAGACTTCTGGGGGGCTTCCCCAAAGCAGGGGCCCCACGATCCATTGTGAATGAAACTGTGCGCGCATCTATTCGGTGCATGTTACTCTGGGACAAGGCTCTGTCACTCTCACAAAATGCTGACGGGGTCCGTGGCCCTCAGGTGCGGGAGCTCTTGCTCCAGGGCCTCAGGGCTGGGAGGAGCCCCTGCATTCACTGATGAGGCAGCTGCAGCAGCTCAGGGGGAGACCTGAGGTCAGCCTGGAAGCCAGTCTCCGGTCCAGGGCTTCGAAGGTTCCAGTGTTCCGCACGGCCATCAGAGGGGCCTCTGTCTGGACATCCCACGCTGTATCTTTGCACTGCAGTTCACATGCAAACTCTGCTAGAGAATGAGACGTGTGTGCTCACATGCACATGCATGGCACTCAGAGAGCTGACTTCTGAAGCTGTGGTGAAGGGTGGGGTTATGAGTTCTAAACTGTGCTTTGCTACTTGCTGAGTGACCTTGGGCAAATCTGGCTTCTCTGTGCTTCAATTTCTGCATCTGTAAAACGGGCCAAATAACATCACCGCCCTCGTGGACGGCTCTGAAGATTAAAGGAGTTGGACAGCAACGCCTCAGCCCAGTGGGGGCGGGGACCTGCTTGTTTCCCCACCACCCTGGCCCGGGGCTTGGGGATGACAGGCCTGCGGGGTCCGTCTTCGAAGTGAGGACAAGAACTGTCTGCACGGTGGCGGGCTCACCCTCCGGGGCGCCAGGGCCCTCTGGGGCGCCCGGCCTGGCCTGCAAGTCAGCTGGCCCCGTGACCTCCCCGGCCCTAGAACTGCAGGTGCTCAGGAAGGAGACGGACACGGGGTCCGAGGCTCGGGGCAGCCGGAGGCCTGTGTCGCCTTGGAAAGTGCTGCTAAAATGATGACGACCCCAACCCTGAGAAAACGAAACGACGCCTCTCCGAGGGCAGCCCCCTCATGGGCAGTGACTGCGCCTGCGCTGGAGGCCACAGCCCGCCACTCCGGCCACTAGGGCGGTGAACGTTCAGTGGGCACCTGCAAAGCCTGGTTCTGTCTTTGGTGCTGGGACACCGGCATCTCTGCCCTTGTGGGGCGTACGTGGGGGTGGGGAAGCGAGGAGACCGGAGAGAACTTGTTACATCCGCCTCGTCGCAGGGTGACACGCAGTGGAGGGGGTGGTGCCGGCGAGGGGAGCCCAAGTCCAGGGAACAGTTGTGGGAGGGCTGCCATTTTATTTCCATTTTAAAGTATTTTATTTATTTATTTTTAGAGAGATGGGAAGGGAGGGAGAGAGGGAGAGAAACATTATGTGTGGTTGCCTCTAGTGTGTCCCCCACTGGGAACTAGCCTGCAACCCAGGCATGTGCCCTGGCTGGGAATCGAACCCCGATCCTTTGGTTTGCAGGCCTGTGCTCAATCCACTGAGCTACACCAGCCAGGGTGCCATTTCATTTTTATTTTAAAGTATTTTATGTATTTATTTTTAGAGAGAGGGGAAGGGAGGAAGAGAAGCAAGGATTTGCAAGAGAAACATCGGTTGAGAATCGAACCGGTGACCTTGTGGGAGGGCGCCCAACCCGCTGGGCCACATCAGTCCCAGCAGGGTTTCTGTTTTAAATAGTGGTCAGGTCAGGACTCACCGAGGTGCCATTTGAACAGACATCTTAGGGGTGCGGAAGGGAGAGGGGTGGGTGGGGGAACTGTGCCCCGCTCCAAGGACAAAGGCCCAGGCGGTGCCGCACACCGACCGCGTGGTGCGAGTCCAGCTCACAGACGGGCGGCGCCGGCGTTCCCTGGCTTGCCCGTCCCTCCACACGGGGGTGGGGACTCAGGCCCCTTCCATCTTGGCTCAGTCTTCCCCCACCTCCGGCCACAGGCATGTTTTTCATGTAGTAGGAGGTGGGGGAGCAGAGAAGGCGCATCTGCATCTTAAGCTTGTTGGCCAGAAAACAACCTACCGCCTGCTCTCATTCCACTGACGAGCACTGGTCACACGGCTCCTGTGACGCGCACGGGGACTGGGAGATGCTGTCCCAGGCTGGGCAGTGGCTTCCCCGGAAGAGCCTGCTCTGCGGAGGGGCAGGGACCTTCAGGGAGTTGGCCGTCTCTCCGTTGGCCTGACGGGGCTGTGCCTGGATGTTCAAGGCTCAGCAGGGGCCAGGCGGCTGCAGTAGGGTGCGTCGGAGTTGAGATCCAGATGGCGGGCCGACCGGCCACACAGGCCAGCTTGGGCCTTTGGCTTGTCCGCGGAGTGCGAGAGGAGCCCGTGGAGGCTCGGCGACTGGGAGGGCCACGATCCATCTCATTTGAACTGACTCCCCCCAGCAGCCATGTGGAGACTGGACCGCAGGGGGCAGGGGACGCGGGGCCTGGTAGGAGGCTGTGGCCATCGGTGCTCCGAGCATGGGGCCTCGGACAGGACAGGAAGTGGGGGAATTGATACATTTTGAAGGTGAAGATAACAGGACTTCCAGGTGGCCCAGATGTGGGGGGTGAGAGAGAAAGGCGTCACGGCCAAGTCCCAGCATGCACCTCAGGCCCCGGGTGGCGGACGAGGCAGCGGCAGAGGAGGTTCTCGAGGCGGGTGTGGCAGCAGTGGTTACTGGACAGGCTGGGCGCCGCTCAGACTGCCAAGCGGGAGCTCAGACTGCCAAGCAGAAACCCGAGGCTCCCGAGCCTCAGTGCCTCATCTGTGACGTGGGGGTGGTAGCCACACTCGCCTGGCAGGCAGTTGAGAAGATTACCCGAGGATGGCTGGGAAGGGCCTGCGGTGAATGAGATTTGCAGGGTGTGTGTATGGGGGGCAGCTTGCTGCAGAGAGGGGCGGGTGCTGGGGGATGGGAGTGGAGGGTGGAAGAGGGCCTTTCAGAACTTACCCCACCCCCACCGGGGCCTTTTCCCAACTCTTGTGCTTTGGGCCCCCCTCACCCCCCCCATCAGATCACGATGGCAGAGCCTCTGCAGCTGGTGGGACAGCCCAGTCCCCTCACGTGGGGCAGATCCCGGTCCCGTGGGGAGCACACAGTGGGGGCCTGAGGTCCTGAGGCCCTGGCTCTGCTGCTAGCTCAGCGGCTCCTTGCTGAGGGACTTGGCTCGAGGACCCTGTGCTTGGATTTTGGGTCTGTCAGTGGGCTGGGCTCTGGGCCTTGCCCTAGAATGTCGGGGAGCACTCAGGTGTTGGCAGGTGCTGGGGGGCTGGTGCTGCCACATACCCCTGCTGACTTGGGAGCCCCTGCCCCACCCCCAGCCTTGGGTGGGCGACAGACGCCCTGACCAGTACATCCCTCACAGGGAGGCAGTCACAAAGCGGTAATACTTTTATTCCCATCAGCGATGCTGATGGTGCCTGACCCTTTACAAAAAAGTGTTAGCAAGAAGGAAGAGGAGGCAGAGGAGCCCTCTGTTCTCGATGCCTCAAACCCTCCACCCTCCCTGCAGTCAGTGCCTCCTGACTGGAGAAGCGAAGGCTCCCCTTGGCCAGGGATGGCCACCCCGGACAGCTCCCTAGGCAAGGGCGTCTGCCAGCACAGCCGAGGGTGAGAGCAAGGAGGCTCGGGCCCAGCAAAGCTGTTCTGCTGCAGACGGAAGGGGGTGTGACGGGGGAGCTTTCCCCTCGGTGACCAGTCCTGGCTTTGAGCGCCCCACTGAGGCCTCAGGGGGGCCCTTGCTGGCTCCGCCTCTCCTCCAGCGCCCTGCACACCCACATGGACACCACGGCGGCATTCCCATCGTTGAACTGCACGATGAACGGGTGGCCCTGTGGAGAAGAGGAGCAGGCTGTGAAAGGCAGTCCCCGGACTTTGTTCTTTGTTGTATTTGCCTCGGCCTGAACTTGTCTCCTGTCCCCAGCAGCCCTGTGAGGCACGGAGACAGCCATCGGTCCCACTGCTCAGCTGGGTGAGAGGCCCGGGGTGTGGCAGTGTCGTGCACTGCACACCTCAGACTGCCTGGGGCCTGGCTACCTTCTCCTGATGTTGCAACTGGCCTAACTCCCCCACTGTGCACTGCCTGCCCCTCCTGGGCCCAGCCTCACCCAGCCAAGGCCTGGCTCCTGAGCTGTGGGTGTTCCAGGCCAGCTGCTACCACAGGTCACTTGGCAGAGGCTGTGTTAATCCCTCCCGTCTAAACCTCTATAAGCAGGTCACAGGTCACAACCTCCGAGTGCAGGGAAGGCAGGTGTCAGAGAGAGGCAGGATGTGCTAGTGTGTGTAGGTCTGCTCTGGTTCCTGGTGGGGAGTTGGGGGTTGGATTTTGGAGGGGCCGGTACTGTCTCCACGGGCCGTCTTGGGCTCTAACCTACTTAGCCCATAGGCAGACTGGGTTATATTTAGTCAGTGCCCTCCCCTGCTGCCCTGAAGAATCAGGCTCCCATTCACAATCTGAGGGCTTCCTGGCAGTTCCCAGGGAAGGCCAGAAAAGAGCAGAGGTGGCGGCAGGGTCATGCCGGCCACAGGTCAAAGGTGGGAAGAAATCAGAAAAGCGTCCTCCTCCCTCCTTCTCACCAAGAGGCTTCTCTGCTAAGGAGCGAACACCTGGCAGCTTCCTCCCGGACTCAGGAAGCTGCAGTGGTGAGCGGAGAGCACAGAGCCGGGGCTCCCGGTGCCGTTCATCCCCTGGCTCCTCCCCCTCTTGAAGACTTCCAACTCCAGCTGCTCTGCTCCCTCCTGCTTTCTGCCCCCTTCTTGGGCCTCTTGCTGCCTCCTGAGCTCCCAGCTGGGCTCTCAGGGCTGCTTTCCCAATCCACACAGGTCCTGACCTGCAAGCCTGGAGGTCGGCCAGCCCCTGGCCAAATGCTCGAAGCTCCGAGCTTCTTCTGAAAGAGCTCATTGCGTGTCTGGGAGGGATGTGGGTCCCGGGCTCCGATGGCTGAGGTGCCCAGATGCCAGGCCAGGGGAGGGGAAGGGGCTGCTTGGTCAGGCCTCAGGTGTCCCTGGGGACAGGAAGGAAGAAAGCCCAGGCTTCCCTGCCCTGGGCTGATGCTGTGTCCCTTTGCCCAGCTTTCCCAATTTGGGCAAGGAAAACCGTCCCTGGACAATACTGCATGGTCTAGCTCAGAGGCACACAGAACCTGTCAGAGGTGCGGGGGGGGGGGGGGGGAGGAAAATCAGCTTGGAGAGTGCTGAGGGCACCCAGACAAGGCAAGGCCCCACGGAGGCCATCGGGGAGCTAGTCCTGGAGCCCAGCTGGGGGCTCTTGTGATCCGCCCACATTGCTCTGTGCAGGCTCCGAACATACCTGCAGGACCCCAAGGGAGCAGGGGCCTGGTTCAGACTGCTGCTGGGGAGGGGAGGTGGAGACCAGGTCGGGTGGGTGACCCATAGGTGGCAGAGGCCCAGCCCCCACATGTTCTTGGCTCTCAGATGCCCCCCCATACATGCCCAGCCTCCACCCGCCTTCCGACAGCACTGCCTAGAAAGAGGGCGTTCTTCCTGAAGTCAGTGTGTGCAGCTCCTTTTCAGGAGGCTCAGGACAGGTGACCTTGTGCCCTTGTGAAGAACAAAGGGAGAAGCTGTGCTCAGGAGCCGATGGGCCCCTCCCGCCAAGCCCGGGGTGGCGGTGTCACTTTCCCAGAATGCCCGGTGACTTTGGGGCCCATATGCTCCGTCTCTGCCATCATCTGTTCGGGAGCAAGCAGAGCGGAACTGCGGGAGGGGAGAGTGGAGGCATCCCTCCGGTCGGGAAGGCTGATGGCCGCTCCGCAGGGAAGCACTTTGCCCAAGTGCCCTGGGGGGCGGAGGAGGGGGGGAGGGTGGGCATCCTTGGCTCTGGGAGAGACTCTGTCCCTTTCCTGCCCTCCTTGGCTGGGAGGTGACTCCCATCTCCTGCGTATCTCTGATGCTTTACCCCACCTTGCCAGGGAGTGGCCTGGACAAGAGGTTCTGCCCCTAGTTACTGCCGACTGGTTTGGGAGAGGTGAGAGGGGGAATCACAGAGAGGGACAGACAGACATTGGGAGGAGGCACCCGGGGTGGTAACATGTGAATTTGGGGGCCGCTGGCAGTGTGGACCACTACATGACTGAACATACCGGGAAGCTGGTGTGCGGGGAGCGGGGGCAGAGACAGCTGCGGAGGGAAGTGGCAGGGGGCCGAACGGTGCAGGACACCCTGTGGCCGTGATACCTGGGCCTGGCCGATTCCCCCGCCTGCAGCAGCAGGATCCGTGAGCCCCTCACAGTCTAGGGCAGAGGCACCGAGCTGCGTGGGTGGGCACTTTACAGACGAGGAGAAGCTTGCCCTGCCTGGGCTCCCTGAGCCGAGACTGGATCGGAAGTCTCCATAACCCAGACTCACTGCCGGGGCTCTCTCTGGGCTGACCGGGGGTGGCAAGGAGGGAGAATCAACATCGAGATGCCATCTCCCCTGACCTTATTTGCATCCATGACTCAGCCCTGTCTGACCAGAGGTGGGAGAGAGTCAGCTCGGTCCCCTCGGAGACCCAATCTGGGAGAGGGCTGTTGCAGTGGCAGGTGACTCTGACTCAACTATCCCTCCTCCCACCAGCCCAGGGTGCGAAGCAGGGCAGCCCCATTTCACAGAAGAGGAAACTGAGCCCGGGGAGGTGAAGTGACTGGTTAAGTGCTGGGGTTGAACTGAGATTTCTGGTTTCTACTCTGGTACATTCTGGGCTGGACTGTGTTCCCTGGGACCCAGGCCGGGTGTGCTTTCCCCTTCCTCCCCGAAATACAGCTGACACCCCTCCTGCTCTGTGAGATGCAAGGATTCCTCATGAGCTTAGCAAGCAAGCACACAGAACAGGACGGCTCATCTGGGGAAGCTGGTCTGGAGGTGGGTGGGAACGGCACACCGGGCAACACCCAGACCGACTGCAGCACCGTGGCCTGAGCTGCGGGCCAGGCGCCTGCCAAGGGCTCTGTCCTAACTTCCCCACCGAGTCCCACTCTGCCTGGAGGTGCACACGGCTCTGCGTCTCCACCTACCAGATGAGGAGGCAGACACTGGGGCCTGTCCGAGGTCACGGAGGCAAATGGCTGGCTGGACTCGCGACGTGAGTCTCCTGACTCCCACTGCCAACCTGGACCCTGTGTCCGCCTGCACCCGTGACCAGAGGCCGGCCTCTCGGGCCCCTCTCTGGGAGGCGCAGAGGCCTGGGGAGGGGGGCTCCAGCCCCTGCGGCACTTGGGTGAAACGCACATCCCTCCCAGGCAGAGGAAGCCAGGTATGGACGAGCTCTCGGCCCCACCGAGCTACAAGGAACCGTGGGAGTGGGGCGTGGTCTCCCTGCAGGCAGCACACCACCCACCCCCGCTTGTCGGGAGCACCCCTACTCCAGGTGACTGCCCCGGACACCTGGGCCTGTGTCCACACAGACAGCGTGTCAGCGGCCACTCTGCAGAGGCTGGCAGGGCGCGTGCCAGGCTGGAGCCACTGAGTGATCTCGCCGGCTTCCTCACTAGGCGGTGGGAGCCACGCTCATTTCCTCGATTCTCTCAGGGCCAATTGTGACAATTAAACTGGTGCGGGTTGGAATATTATGGTCCACAAACTTCACCACAGAAGATGGGGACATAATGAAGGGAAAAGGATGGGACTGTAAGAGGCAGGATGAATCCAAAAGTGGGACACGGGGGTGGGGGAGAGAGAGAGATGCGAGTCAACAACGACCGAAGGCAGCTGGAGCCACCTGGTGCAGACACCCCCGCACCTGGGGCTGGGACCAAACTGCTGGGGTGGGAAGGGTGCTGGTGAGACCCCAACACCCCATGAAGAGGGGCGCAGTCACCAGCACACTCTCCTCTGTCTGGGCATGGCGTCCAGAGTTCCACTGGGGTCTGACCCTCCTTCTGCAGTGATGTCCCTCGTTTTCTGCCTGCCCATTTCAGGAGACGCCTTCCTGAGGACTGAGGGCAGGACGGTGTCCAGCGCCTCCCGAGTGGGAGCGCCCCACCTGCCTGCTGCAGGAGGCAGGGACTGGACGGGCACGTGCCCACCTGCTGCGGTGGGGAAGCGCTGCCTGGGGCTCAGGCGACTGCACTCCTCCCCCGATGCTCGTTCTCTGACACCTCTCTCTGCTCTCTGTGGGTTTTCGAGTTTCTTCCCAAATACAAATGTACCCATTCGGGGTCTCCACACCTCTTTTCTCTCAGATAACTTCCTAGAGAACACCATGCACGGAAGTTGTTTAATACTCTGCTGCTGTGGCCGCAGGCCTGGCGCGGAGCAGGCTCTCAGTCAGTGGACCCGTGGCCTGACTGAGCTGTCTGTGTGTCCTGGGTGTGTGCAACTGCTCCCCAGGCACCTGCTGTGTGCCTTCTGGCTGCCTGACCGCTGCATGTGACCTTGAACCCCCACTTATAAATGAAAGAAACCGAGGTGCCAAGGTGGGGCACCTCACAGGGCAGCTTCCAGAGCCAGACGGTGGCCGAGTCAGAGTGTGCAGTCAGGACACCACCACTGTGCTCTCTGAGGTCGGGACAGTGGGTTTTAAATGTCTACATTTTACAAAGAGTATCTTGTACATTATAGGTGCTCAACAAGTAAACTGAAGTCAGGATGGCAAAAGGGCCTATCTGTGTCCTCCCAGGTCACAGTTGTATGGGCCAGGCACTTCCAGTCAAATAACTTATTCAATACTCAGCAACTCTATTAAGAATGAAGAGTACTCCCATTTTATAGATGAGAAAAGTAAAGCACAGATAGATTACAGAACCCGTCCAAGCCCTCATTCTCCGAACTGTCTTTTCCCCTCGGTGTCCGGGCCAGGGATGGCACTACCTGGCAGGGCGGCCCATCCCCA